ACACCGTCTGGGAAAAAGGCAAGTAAGGCGTGTCATGTTTGAAAGCCAGTATTTCTCCAACTCGCCTCACAGAGGTGACAGCAACTAGAAAGGCCATCTTCCATGACAGGAATTTTAGGTCGCAAGTTGCGAGTGGCTCAAAGGGTTTCCTCGTGAGCTGACGAAGAACTAGAGGAAGGTCCCAGGGAACGACAGGAGTTTTGATGGGAGGGTATAGGTGCAACAGTCCCTTCAAAAAACGTTTTGAGAGCAGATGCGAAAACAGTGTGCATCCCTCAACCTGAACATGGTAGGCCAGAAGTGCGGCCAAATAAATTCTTAATGATGAGTGATAGAGTCCCGAGTCAGTGATTCAATTTTTGCCATTTGTAATAGTAGGACTTTCGCGTAGTAGGTTTTCTGCCGTTAAGCAAAATGTTTGCTACATGGGTGGAAAAGCTGTTGACGCTATTCTCCAGGCTGTCAACTTCATCCGTGGCACGTTGTGGTACAGGAGAGGGGAGTCGGACAGGAAGAGGAGGTCTTGTGCTGGAGGAAATTGGTGGTAGACCCCTGCTGACAATTCGAGGATGGCCTTGGCCACCACGGGTTTATCAAGATGCAGTTCGCTCCATTGCTGATAATTTTGGGGACCTCTCTCAGAAGCAGGGGTAGTGGAGGGAAGAGATAGAGAAGTTCCCGGGACCACGGATAGAGGAGACTGTCCCCTAGAGACTGTGGGTCCCTGTCGCCTCGGCTGCAGAACAACACCTTTTGTTGGCTCTGGTGGCAAAAACATCGACTTGGGGAACTCCCCACCTGCGGAAGAGAGGGAGGAGGTAAGTTGGGTTCATCTCCCACTCATGAAGGCTGAGTCCTGCTTGACTCAGATGGTCTGCCTGCACATTCGTGTGACCTGGGATGTGTGTGGCTACCAGGAAAACTTTGTGGGTGATGCAAAGGTTCCACAACTGAATGGCAAGGCTGCAGAGGCATAAGGAGACAGTGCCTCCTTGCTTGTTGACATAACTGAGTGCAGTGATGTTGTCCGTGAGGACCGTAACACATTTTCCCTTGATCAGAGGCAGGAAACTGGTGACAGCGAACTGTATTGCAAGCAGTTCCAGGAAGTTTATGTGCCATTTTTGTTCGTGAGTGTTCCACTTGCCTCCAACACAAAGACCCATCATGTGGGCACCCCAGCCCGACAGGGAGGCATCCGTGGTTAAGGTGATTTGGAGTGATGGACGATGGAAAGGTGCTCCCTGGAAGAGATTGGAAGGGACAGTCCACCAAAGTAAAGAGTCTCGCATGTTGGGAGGAGGGGTTAGGACGGTGGTATGTGCGTTTTCTGTTGGGTCATACTTGCGGATAAACCACAGTTGTAAGCGACGCATTCTTAATCTGGCAAAGACCAGGACCAACGTAGTTGCGACCATAAGGCCAAGCAGCCTCTATATTTGGAAAGCCGTGACTGAAGGCTGGGTACGGACGACATTGGCTAGGTAAATGATGTCTGC